TCAACATCTCAAGGCAGGAAAATTCATTAGGATCGAATTTTTTCCCGTCGTACTACTATGACCATGGGCTACCAGTGTGGCAAGTTTCAAGTCAAAATTCGAAAGTCGGATTTTGCTTGAAATCCAAGCTCTATAGGCAAAAACTGACTAAAAATCCAATATCTCAACAACAAAGCACCATGGGGATGAATCAACTTAGGGTATTTCACTACTCACTGAGGTCTACAAGATACAAGTAGTTCGAGTTCAAAAGTGATTTATAACCTCAAGAGATTCCCTCGTCAGCTTGATTTCGCCCTGCACAAAGTTTGCTCTATTTGTGTAAGGAAAGAAAGGTATTGCTGGTACGTCCCAGCTATGTCCATCATCATGGACACAATAGAAGATCCTCTGGAAGCCTTTGCTCATCTAGAAACAATAGAAGACCGGGGTCTTAAACGTGACAGTCCCTTTAGATGCGTTCGGCTGTGCTAATTCGGAATATCCCATTCATTTAATCCCGAAGAAAAATATTCTATTCACCGGATGTTTGATATACCCACGCTTAGTATTTTTGCCTCGTTTCGGCCACAGTCACACGACAGATGATTAAAAGTCAATTATATTCTCATAAAACAAGCAGGGTTATTCGAACTCAGTACAAAAAATTATGTGTAAATCAGCTCCATTTTCCGGGATGAACAGAAAGATGAACTGATAAACTGGCGCAGCTCAGGCAGAAAGTAAGCTTTTATGCTGGAAAAATGCACTTACAGAACCTTATCAAATCGAGCGCCTCCTCTGATATTACACATCTTACCTGGTAATGTGAAACGAACCAACAACGAAAGAAAAATGGTTCGATTAGTTTTGACTGTGTTAATTTTATATGAAATATATTTTTTGTTTTTGGATAATAATCAGTGATGGTTCTCGAAGTTTCTAAGAGAAAACAATAAATCACTGTAGTTGAGATGTTTACGCCATTAAGAAAAAGCGAGAATGATACTTCATTCACTCAACTGTGTTCTGTCAATTGATTGAAATAAACACATTAAAAAAAGAAAAGAAAAAGTTGCTTTCTTACCCAATCACATAGAAAATACATGCAGAATAAGAAACCGAAAAAAATGGCATTTTATCTTCATTATCGTCGGTGAATTAATTGTCTCAAGGGAACTCTATCAGAGGTGGACAATTTTGATTGCCTGTTACTCTATTTTCAACAGGCAATCAAAATTTTCCATGAGAAGCTTCGAGAACCATGATTCATTATTACCCCGAATACAAAAGATATATTTCATATAAAATTAACAGAATCAAAACTAATCGAACTATTCTTCTTTCGTTGTTGGTTCGTTCCAGATTACCAGGTAAGTTGTGGAATATCAGAGGGGGCGCTTGATTTGATAAGGTTTTGTAAGTGGATTTTTCCAGCATAAAAGCTTACTTTCTGCTTGAGCTGCGCCAGTTTAGCAGGTCATCTTTCTGTTCATCCCGGAAAAGGCGGCTGATTTACTTAAACGTGATTAAAAATTCTACCGAGAGATTTTACAAGCAAAACTATTCCGAATTAGCACAGCCAAACACATCTAAAGAAATTGTAACGTTGAAAGAACCGGGTCTTCTGTTATTTCCAGATGAACAAAGGCTTCTAGGGGGTCTGCTGTTGTGTCCATGATGCTTCACATAGCTGGGACGTACCAGCAATATCTTTCTTTCCTTACACAAATAGAGCAAACTTTGAGCAGAACGAAATCAAGTTGAGACAGAATGTCGAGGGAATAATTTATTGAGAAAAAACATTTTATGATTTTGAAGTTAAAGCGCCTCTCTATTCCATCAGCTTTTCAACAATATCAAATTTAGCTGTGGAATAATCAGGTACAGGCACCTCACATTCATTTTCTTCCCCTCTTCGTGGAGGTAAAAGAAGCGAAAGCAATAACACAAAGCAAGTGAAAAAAATAGTTTAATGGTATATAATTATTTTTCCAACTTCTATTCAACACTTTTGACTATGAAGAATGCAAATTCTATTAATATAATAATAATAAATCCTTTTCGTGAATAAATAAATAAAAGCTGAAATGGCATATTGATTAGTTTTTCGTTTCTACTTGGAAGAAACTTGCAGACTTTTATCTTGGTTCTTCAAAGAGTTAAAAATAAAACGTAGCGTTTATTGAAACGACTAGTGGTTCTACTGAAAGATGCTTGGCGGCGCAGACGTTTTAAATTCTTATAGTGCTCTACTCGCCTGATGCGAAATTTATCTCTCAGATCATTTTGCGTTAATTGTGAGATATATTATCTTGTTAAAGGGTGATGGCCATTAATGGAAACCGTTTACATGTGCCAACATCTGATGAGCATAGTATACACTCCGAGACTGAAACCTACACAGAAAAGGCTAAACAGATTACAGCCCAAATCAAAGACGATAAACAAGAATGTCAACATATAATATCGACATATGCAGCGGATCCAAATGAAATTCTTCACTTAATTGGTCGATGGACACAACAGGAAATTGAAGAATATCGAGGTAATAAATCCATCTTTAAGAATACTATGAAAGAAAAGTGGCTCAACAATGAACTGGCCAATTCAAAAACAGACGCTAACAATAGTAAGATGAAACTAATTTTGTCAAATTATGAAAAATTGCAAACTGATGTGCAAGCCACATTATCAATCGAGAATTTGAATAAACTAAATAATTTGTTCAATAACAACAACGACGACGCAGAAGAAGAAAAGCGAACAAAGTTAAATGAGTTCATCGACCAACTATTAGAAATAATATCGCTTTTAGAATCAATCCACGATTATAAGTACAGCAGTAACAACGTAATAACAACAGCAGAGCAAGAAGAAGACAAACAATCACCATGTCATTTATCCAACACGAAACAACGTTTATTACATTTAAAGCAATTGAATCAAAAAGAGTTTCATACAGTATGCGTATTCGGGTTAGAAAAATGTGGCAAATCGACATTTATCAATGCACTTTTAGGATATAAATTTCTGCCCGATGCTATTACACGTTGTACACAAATAAAAACTATAATAAAGCCAATAGCGCCCTTAAAAGAAAATGTATTTGCTTTGATTGAATATTATAACGATGAAGAATTCAAAAGATTATATGCAACAATGGCAAGAAAAGCCGATGAATCAGCTCAACAATTTCAACAATAAAAGACGTCAGTTGAACAGGCAAGACGAGAGTTAACGCTATCAAAAGAATGTTTTACGAATGGTTCATATCAGGAAGAATGTTTGACTAAACAGAGTGATGCTATAACTGACCGTCAACGTATAATTGACAATTTACATAAATACATTGCAATATTATATTTAAATATTGTCAAACAAGTAACGATTTACACAAATAAATTACCAGGTATGATTACTATTTGTCAGAGACAAAATCGTATCTTATACTAAGTATTCTACAAAAATCATCAATTGGAGAGTTTTATTTTATGAGGAAATCTCGCCAGATGATTAAAAGCATTTCCCTCGAAACATACTTCATTATGCAAAACTTTTTATGCTTATCTAAATCTCACGCTAACAACCTGTACGACCGAGTCCTAAGACCGACAAATTGAGTTTGGGCTCAGTTCGAGGACTTTTACATCCCGAGTTACAGCAAACGATTGATTTTTCACCTTGTACAAAGTGGTGAAATAACCTAGCGAGAGTGGCCGAGCTTACAGTATAAGGACTTGTTAAAAGAATCACAATTTTGTTTTGACAGGTAAAAATTATGAAATTCTTGATGTACCTGGTTGTGATTCACCAATCGAAGAACATCGTCTATCAGGTGTAAAGGCGTTCAAGACTCGGATGCCTTCTTGTTTTTGACCAATGGCCAAAATCCTAGTTTAACAAACGATCAGATCCGTTTACTGAACGAAATCAAATATGATGGTATTACAAATCGTGCATTTGCCGTTATCACAAAACTAGATTTATGTCAAACAACGGTAAAATATTTTGAACATTTAACAAAGTCTTTTGAAGAATTAAAAAAAATGGGTTTCTCTCCACAGAATATTTATGCAGCAGCAGCACAACTGACTCTTTTAGAACAAACCCAAACAACAACAGAAATGGAACAACTGAAAGTAAAACTCAGACAATACGATCGTTTAACAGATAGATTTGATCAAATTAAAAGAGCTTTATCTCGTTATGTTCAGTATGAACTACCAAAATCACACATGAAACAAGTGAATGACATTGTTGAACAAAATAAAAAGAGATATGTGAACGAAGCTCTGTTGGTTGCAAAAGAATTTATCCCGACTGATTTCAACCAAAACAAATCAATAGATGATTATCTTAAACAACTTAATGCAGAAAAATGGGATGAAATATTTGAAAATGATTTCTATGAAGCAACATTGAAAACGGCAAACTCCTGGTAGCTATACTTTAAGGACAGATATAGGTAAAACCAAGGTCTTTAGTTTCCTCACTCCCACCCGGTAGACTGCTTCAATTTTCTTTTGGGTACTTCCATACAGGTCCGCCCAGTATTACATGAGCTAAAAGCCGGGAAAGTTTGACTATATGCAATCGATAGTCCTACTAAAGGCATTTAAACGCCCCATAAAAAAATTATTCCGAACATGGTTTTTCCTCGGCCATAAGTTCTGAATTGAAGCATTTTTAGGGGTGCTAGAACAGCGAAATCCCACCATATCTAATACTATCAAGCGTTCTCATACTGCTAGCTGGAAAGAGCATACAAAGTTGTATATTTCGATCCGCAAACGAGATTTCCTCCTCTGACATTCGGAAAGAATTTTTGACTGGAGGACCTTATCTGTATTAGCAGATATCACTCGTTTTTGTAGCGTGATGGACGAGCTCAAAATTTAACAAAACGTGACTTTATTTATACTCAAATGAAAGCGGCTTCCAAGTTTGTTCTTATGACGCACCAATGAAGTCTCTAGCACTTTTTACGTCCTCATGGTGAACGTAGCCGTGAGACCTACTTTGGCTCTTCCTGGTCTCTTCCGTCGAAAACCACACGTCAGTTCTTCGAGACCTTGTTACCCTACACACTACTCGACTAGTGCCACAAAAGGCACAAGGTATTGACTTTGGCCAGGTGGATTTTCTTCTGGCGATTTTCTAGAAATCCCATAAAAATCCTCAGTTGTTCATAACTATTGAATCCAAACTAACCCGAAATTCGGGTTCAGCATGTCATTTTTTGGGTAATTTAGTATTTTTTCCCGTTCCTGACCCTAGTCAGATGATAGGATTTTGATGCGGTTGCCACTAAAGCGTCATAAGAAAAACCACCTGGCCATAGTCAGTACCGTGTACCTTTTGTGGCACTAGTCGAGTAGTGTGTGGGGTAACTAGGTCTCGAAGAACTGATGTGTGGTTTTCGACGGAGGAGGCCAGGAAGAGCCAAAGTAGATCTCACGGCTACGTTCACCACGAAGAAGTAAAAAGTGCTTTTAGTGAATTGTAGGTGCATAGTAGCATAAAAGTGTGTTTTGAGCAAAATACGTTAGACTATTAGAGAACGGTTTTTTGAGAGCTTTTTGAGGATTGACAACTTTTCTTGAAAAAATTCCAAAAATGCGGAAGTTATTTCATTTTGAAGGAAGTACGTTGCTCTACATGATTGGATGTTTTGAAAAAAATTATTGGTTTAATTAAGTTAATCTTTCGAAGTGAAAACCCTTGTTTGATATGTTGGCCTCACGATGTAAGGTCATGAAGAAGACGGAGAGATCTCATTCTGAAGAAGAGACTTCACTCTACCGCGTAATATGCTTAGGGAATACAGACTTTTTTCGCCAGAAATACAGACTTTTTTACATGTGTATTAAGCTCATTAGATGATTGGATAGCCTAAGGTGCCTACTCTTAGAATTCATACTGCATTTGTCAATACAAAAGGTTTCTGAAAGTTTTTACAGAAATGTTCTAGGAAGCCTAAAAACCTGATTATTCTGGGATTTAAATATTTCAGTGCGCTGAAGGTATGATAAAAATTTTCAACGACGCTAGTCCGTAGAGCAAATATTTCTAGTCAAAATGCGAGCTCTCCCAGCGCTTGGCTATAGAGACTTACGGTTTTCATCATTCGCTAGCCGACACCTGAAGCGATGTTTTCATAACCAAAACCAAATTCGGAAAAAATTGTGAAGACCGGTTTTTCAGGAGATCTATAGAAAATCAGTTCAGTCCCTAAACATGGACATACTTCCACAGGTACACAGCCCGACGTGTCATCTACAAAACTGGATCCAAGCAATCCATGGTTCGGGAACTATGGTCGTTTTTCCTGAAGCGTTACCAGTCCTCTGCCGCTAGATTTGGAACTGTCAGAAATGAATGAAAACATAGGTTATCGGCTATGCTGAATCTCATAGCAATGTTAGTTTTTCGAATAAAGTGGAAGAACCGAGTAAAAACCTATATTAAATGAAATAACTCATTTTTAATTATTTTCATCGATCATAACTCAGTGAAAATCAATCGAACCTACTTCAGAATGTCAATATATACTCTAATTTATCTACAGTACGTGTAAAGCTCAACAAATGTTTAAAAAACTAACAGAAAATTAAAAAGTTCATAATTCAGTCAAAATCCATCCAACCTGCTTCAGAATGTCAAGATATACTCTACTTTATCCGTTCATTCTAATTCTATACATAAAATCAATAAAAAATATTGTCTTGGTTTCAAAGGTTTCTGCAGAACCTTTCTAATAATTTTGTTTTGTAATGGGTAATAATTCTACACGTACTGTAGATAAATTAGAGTATATATTGACATTCTGAAGTAGGTTCGATTGGTTTTCACTGAGTTATGATCGATGAAAATAATTAAAAATGAGTTATTTCATTTAATATAGGTTTTTACTCGGTTCTTCCACTTTATTCGAAAAACTAACATTGCTATGAGATTCAGCATAGCCGATAACCTATGTTTTCATTCATTTCTGACAGTTCCAAATCTAATCACAATTTTTTCCAAATTTGATTTTGCTTACGAAAACATCGCTTCACGTGTCGGCTAGCGAATGACGAAAACCGCAATTCTTTTTTCGACGAAAACTGTAAACCAAAGAAAGTGTAGCCTTAAGTATGATTTTCATTTTTCGAAGAAAACAGCGAAAATGTTTGCACGGGATTCAGGTCTGGTGGCACTCGTCTCCTTCTGCATCTTTTCTCCCCTGTTTAGACAGTCCTGTGCATGGACGTCGTTGCAGTGTAGGTCCATGGCAGAAAAAAACATTTGCGATTAATCGCGAACAATTAACGAGGGACATGGCTGAGTTTTTTCCGTAGACGAATTTTAATGTATACCGGTCATATAATAAACCAACAACATGATATCGAACGGAAAACGCTTGAATCGTTTGAGATATCCTTATTTCAGATGGATCCCTACAGAATCGAAACAATCGAACGTGAAGAGATAGCAGAAGCGATTACTCGTGCTGTTCAACGTTCATCCGACGAATTAGCAAGTTATTTATATGACAAGTACGTATGTGCATTACAGCGAATATTAAATGGAATATGTTCAACATCAAACCTATTTCGCACCAATCTAACGGAAGATAAATGCAAAATAGAAACAACAGCACTGATACTGCGTGTATCACGGCCAATTATAATTGCAACAATTCGCTGGCCCCACGTCTTTATCGATAATCGAATCGAAGCAGCAACTGAATTAACTCGTATAGCACCATTAATTTCATTTAATCTCTGTGAAAATCAATTATCGGCATTAACAACAACAACCACACCAATTATAGGACAATTAATTACAAAAGTTCTAAACATCGATGGAAGTGGGGGTGGACTGTCAATGGCGGCCGAATCAATTGGAATTATTTTTACCGTGGCAACAGCTTTGTTCCGCAGATTTGTATGACATTTGTTTTGAAACATTAACCTCCCGTATGAGACGAGCTTCATGAGTATGACTTGATGCATCGAGCAATACCATCTGATATTCCAAATTTTTATTGCACTGCAAGCTGTTAGCGCCTTTTTGGAATAAATTAATTACACATTTATAAGTTGCCGGAAATGCAAGCTTGCAGTAAAATTATATTGCCATTCTTTTACACACGATTGGATGTTGCTAATCAAAAATATGTGTCTACTAATTTTTTCGAAATAATTTTTATGGGAAAATTTACCAACCTTTTTCAGATAGGCTATTTTTTTTAAAAAACGGTTTAATTTCCAAAATATCGCCTAATTCTCAGCTTTAATGCTCTCTTTAACTACCAAAGCTATTTTATTCGTATTCGTCACATAAAACTGAATAAAGCTCGTTTTTGATGCTATTCAAGTATAATGTGATCAGAATATTTTGCATTTAATCGGGATAAGCATTTTGCAAGTCTGTCTAGGTTTTTCTGGGAAGATCGACTTTTGTAATTCCTTAGAACCGCTGAAAACGCAGCTTTAAAAAAATCGCTCGAATTTCGGAAGATTTTGCTTTGTCGCTGCCAAAAATTATTTTTATGCAAAAACCAGGGACCTCGATGTCGATTATCTTCTTTACTCTTGTCTCATATTCCGTTATAATGCACTCAACTAGATAAAAGCTCATAAGGAATTTAAGGAAAGCACTTTAGAGATCTCTATAGGGTTTCCAGGTGGTCTCTAGAAACTTTTACTCCCAAAGTTGGATTTTCAGATGCTCTTTTACTACTTTTTAATAGTGGAAGTTCAGTTGCTCACCAGCTGAATTGTCATCTGTTTTCATCTCCTCTTTCTCCTCTCTGCTTGTGCTTTCACTCTGTTGTTGAACATTTTCGTCCGATCAACATTTAGTTGCAAGATTCAGATAACACAATGAGAACAACGTTTAGATAGTATGGGCATAGTAAACGACACAAGCAACACAGAAAAATAAGCAACGCTAAACCAGAAATAAATAAGTCAGCATCAATTCTTACTAATTAAACGAAAGTAAAAAAGCGTCTGAAAACTTGATTTTTATGGTAAAAGTTTTCCAGACATCGCCTCGAAACCATTTAGGGATCTTCAGAGTATGTTCATTGAGTTTCTCATGACCTTTCACCTATATGACATGCTGATCATATTATACTTGAATATCGTCAAAAGTGAGCTTTCTAGACCTAGTTTTATGTGAAGCATATGAAAAAAACAGTTTGGGATGTTAGGAAGGACGGTAAAGTGATTTTTTGAAAATTAAGTCGGTTTGAAAAAATGGCTTATCTCGAACAGTTAACAAATTTTCCCATAAAATTAAAAAAAATTAGAAGACATGTTCTTGATCAGCTCAACGAACAATATTCAACCGTGTGTAAAAGAACGACAACATATGAAGTCGAAACAGATTAAACCAAAAACAAAACACAAAATATATAAATATATATACATTGAAGGATAACATCGAGTCGTTGCACAACTTCAGTCATTGTGCAGAATATAGGAAAGAACAGCGAAGTTGGTTTTTGCAGCTCGTCTGCTAAGATCAAGTTCGTGTGTTCGATTCTAGCTTTGTGCAAGGATTGATTTTGTGTTTTGGTAGTTTTAGTTTCAGAATGATATAATGGGAATTTATATTCTCGATTTCGTTCTAGTTCCAGATTAAAGCTTAAACCAAAACAATAGATTTAGCTGGGGTTTTTTGCAGACGAGTTGAAGAAACATCTTTTTTGCAAGTTATTTATAAGCATAAGGACATGACTAATACCAAAAAAACTCTGCTCAGGTCGTTTTCGTCATCGAGATAGGAGACATTGTTTCCTAAAAACTGACTCTTATTTATTGCTCAGTAAGCAAGATTGAAAATTTACTTAGACAGATGTACCTTTATACTTAGTTTCTCTGGCAACTATAATTTTATAAAACGTCTTCCATGGATGGAGAGAGCGCGCAAGTTTTGGACTTTTTCCATTTTTAACCAAGTCAGACTTCTGATTAATTCACGGTTTCTACCAATGAAAACTAAGCTCGCACCTAGCAACATGTCTCTATACTGTACTGGAGCTACTTATGGTTATTTTTCAAATAATGTCTCCTATCTCGGTAACAGAAAAGATCTGAGCAGAGATTTTTTTTGAATGAGTCATGTCCTTATGCATATAAGTAACTTGCAAAAAAGATTTTGCTTCAACTCGTTCTGTTGCTTGAAGAAAATTTTATTCGATGTCTTTCCAATGGAAGATTCCAAACTCGTCCTGATTTCTCATAACAGCGAATCATCTGACAGATTTTGGTTAAGAAGTCAAAACTTTTTTCTTCGCTTTGTTTGATAGAACGAACCAAATGAACTGTCTGGAACGACGTGCGACTAAGTTTAGTATATTATTGTACAGAAAATTTTGACTAATCTCGCTAGGGCTTCAATGCAGCTCTGAAATCCGTTTTTGCAATAAATTGTTCTCTTGCTCACTGAGTTCAGAAAAGAGTAAAGTTGCATTTTTTGGTATAAACTTGTGCACTATTATCTTGAAGCGTCTTAAAGAAGAAAAGAAAAATATCTATTTACTTTTCATTGTGGTAAGGCTTGTTTGAACATACATGTGTGAGAACATCCTCTAAATTTAACAAAGACAAAGTAGGCGTTTTTGGCTGTCCAGAGGAAAATAAAAGTTAAAAATTTCAAAAAAACACAACCGAATCGTTTGGATTTCAACATAAAGATGTTTTTGGATGGTCTACTTGATGACATCGTCAAAAAATAGAAAAAATTTACCTTTTGACTTGAGTTTTAAGATAGTTTTCTGGAAAACATTTTTGCAAAAAGGTCTTATTTGCTGGGTTTTGGCAGTGTCATCAGGTAAATCATAGAAAAACGCAGATTTTAATATCCTGTTTTTTGAAAGTTGTTCAGAAAACATTCATCAACACTATATTTTGAAACGAATAATAGTCATTTTCCCTAGAAAGTATTAGGATCATTTGGTTAATCCCTCCACCTTTGTCCTCTTCTTTTGACCGATAGATTGTAATCGATAAGATTAATTCCTGGACATTATAATTAGGTCCTAAAACGAAATCTTGGTCAAAGTACAGTGGTTATTCCAGTTTCTGATCCTGCGTTGGTTTTATCTCCAAACAACGTGGATCCTCCAGAAATGTTACTAAAACCATCGCCACAGATTCCTGCTGCTCCATTATCTGGGAAACAATACGTCAACTTACTCGTACTAGGTCTTACGCAATCGGGTATGTGACTCAGAGATGTTTTTGTAGTATACCCACTAAATTCTCTCTTTTTTCAGGTAAATCATCGGTATTAAAATCATTGTTGAACATCCCAACCGACAGTAATCCATCTGGTCAAAGAATTTTATTTTCATTACACAAAACAACGATTGATCACCTTGTTATTCGAGCATGCGATTTTCAAGGTATCAATCATTTGAAAATTAAATACGAAGATATATTACAACATTTATTAAACAACGAAATTTCTCAGCTGGATCGCATCATCATATGTTTTAAATACGAGGAAAATATTCAGCCTGATACACACATCTATTTATTTATTCTGTTGAACTATTTAAAACTAATCGGACTGAAAGGTGAAAATATCATTTTAGCACTTACGTTCTGTGACCACTTCAAATCTCAAAACGATATTCAAGAGTATGTAGAACAAATGAAAATAAATCCGTTGGTTGGCGAGTTGTTTCAGTATGCTACTAAAATTATACCAATAATAACAAAAGGGAATTTTAATTATCGTCGGTGAATATTTTAGAATTACCAATGATCCGAACATGTTATACACAGACGAGATCTGGAAAAAATTACAATTATTAACAGAAAAGCAGGATATATTCAAATTTGTAGCACAAATCAATTGTTTAATCAGTTAACCGAAACCTTGTCTAAAGTAGACTATTTTCCACTTCACTATAACTAAATAGAACAGTAGTTACCCTACTTTCAAGATTATTTTTAAGAAGCATTTCCATGTATAAACAACTTTTGACGGGCAAAAAGTCCATATCCGTAAGAAAAATCTTCATCTGATGAAAATAAAATATATTACACAGCTATCTGCGTTTTCTTTTCACACCCCTACATTATTTCATCCGTTTCTGGAAGACATTTTGAAATGATATTTTGAAAAAAAATTTCCATAAACGGACTTCAAATTCTTTCAGAAAACTTTTTTTGTGTTATTTTTTGATTTTTTCATAATTACCATGCGTGCTGGAGCTAAAACTATTTTAATAAAAACCTTGAGATGGATTCTGGACGTATATCATGACAGTGATGCTTGTTTCTTAAGTAGCTGACATTGTTTCAGGTGAAATGGAACAGTCATAACTTGACCATTCTTCGTTACATTTACATTGTCCAAATTAAAAATATGGAGTTGGTTCGTCAATGCCATTACCTGTACAACTACTGTAACAAAAGACAGAAATTTCCAAATATCTTTTCAATGCTATTTCAATTACTCTATATTTTCCTAATACACTTTCATCATCCAGAAACCTCTTTTCATGTAATAATTCCAATATATAATTCAGCGACGATTCACGAAAGAGAGAGCTTATTAAGTTCATAACTTGACTGTTATGAACTTCCTTTTTTGAGAACTCCTGATACACCCCTATCGTTTTATATCTATCGTTTTGACATTTTTGGTAATGCTATGACACAGTTTTTTCTCACAGAATTTTGAGACACGTAAGGTCCTAAAAGGAACTTGACTTTTATACCCACCTGAGCCCTAGGCCTTATACAATCCGTTCTTGATGTCAGAATTTCGAAAAACATACGTCATTTTGTAGAGAATTTAATTCCTTATCGAATGGTATATTTTTCAGTTTTTTCAAGAAATTGGCTAGATGAGTGTATTAAAATGAAAGTTTTTAAAAAACATTTTAAAATTAATTTTTTGCAGACAAATTTTTATTTTTATTTTTTAAAAAGCCCATATTCGTAATAAGTGAAAAACTGTATCTAATGATGGTCTCAAATCAGTTCTCCTACGAAAAAAATTTTTGAAAAACTTAGTCAGTGAAGTATCACGTTACGTGGACAAGCCGTCTACTCTTTATTTTGAACCATCGAACTATATAATAGGACTATAAAAGTTACCGTTACTTCTTCGGCCGTTATCGACAACGCTAACTGGAAGGACAGTTACCGTTGCTTTAACGGTAGCTGCGTTTCCAGTTACCGTTGAAATACCAGTGGCTTCAACAACATTGGCCTCCAAAATCGTTAGTTTTCCACCAAAACTATTTAAACTTTCATAAATGACATGATTTTGTAGTCTAATTTCATTGATGAAAACAAAAAGATTTCTCAAGCTGGCTGTAGATGCTGAGGCCTCCAGAGACCTTAAAAAACGCAATTACAAAACATTGAAGTTATATAATTTCGATTAGTTTAGTTGACTGGCACGTGTGTGCCAATCAAAATCATGTTATTTACGAAAGTTTCAATATTTTAGTGAAAAACTAACGATTTTGGCAGCCATTTTAAGCCGCTGCGTGGATATTTCTGCCATACTTAAAAAATAGCTGACACAAAGTTAACTAACTGATAGTTACCGTTATTGAATAACGGTAACTATCAGTTAGTTAGAGTCAACGGTAACTGGTACAAAATGAACTATAGCGTACCGATTTGAAACCTGAGCAGCGTGTAACTAAGAAAATCCTAAAATCGCTCATGCCGATGGTCCTTCGTTTTCAAGACATGATCGATATTTGGTTACAAAACAGACGATTGTTTCATGTTTTGAAAATTTTTTTTCTCTATCATCCTAATGAATTGAGCAGCTAAATTTTTCATACAGCTAGTCCCATAGATGGTCTACTTGCTCCAAAGATTTCAAACAAATAGCTTGTCTAGAACTGAAGATATCGAATCTTCGATTACTAGAGAACGAAGCTTTAGATGTCAAATCGAAATAGCATCGTCACATTAGGATCATTTTTTCATTCTCAAATGCTCGCTTCCCTCTTTCGCCAACTCATTCAATATGCTTGACATGCTTGAGGATACGTGGAGACTCATCCTGAAGATTTTCACACCGTTGTCAACGCTTGCTTTTCTTTCGACTTGTCTTTGTGTGGAGAGAAGAAATTTTCAGCTCCTAGTTTTATCCGGTGCTCGTCTTGTCAGTGGTTTTATATTTCCCGCACTTCTGTGCAGACTATTACTATCATTAAAGATACTCTTATTTTTCACTTTATGTGTAGTTTGAAATGTTCCATTATTCGTGTTTGTAACTTACATAAATAGAAGCGTAGGAGGCTTCTCCAGTACTTGAAAATTCGATATCTTCAGTTCTAGGCAAGCTATTTGTTTGAAATCTTTGGAGGAAGTAGACCGTCTTTGGGGCTAACTGTATGAAAAATTTAACTGCTCAATTCATTCGGATGACAGAGAAAAAGAATTTTCAAAACATGAAACAATCGCCTGTTTTGTAATGAATTCTCGATCATCTCTTGAAAAGGGCGGTTTTAGGGTTTTTTAGTCTCATCAAGATCTGCTTATGATCAAAAGATAGAATCAGCATTACGAATAAATGGTGGTTCAACCTTTTGAGAAAGAATATATCAAAACGTCTTATTTATTGCAGACTTTTCAACGAAATTTACTTGTCTGACACTAACTGAAACATTAATAAATGATCTGAATCGATTTTTTTTTCACAGTATTTTATCGTTTTAACTTTGATTCAAACAAAGAGAATTAAATAAGTAAACAAAAGTATATGCAGAGAGAGAGAGAGAGAGAGGAATAAAATGTTTCTTTGTCCATACTTATTTTATTATTCTCTCACTTCGATTGTCTGTCATGTTTTTTACTTTTAATTCAAGTAGAAAATTGTTCACATTCGAGTGCAAAATTTTACTGCATACCGGTATTATTATTATGACTGCATCTATTGCAACACAGCCAAAGAATGCTATTTACAAATGTATTTTTATTGTGTTAAATTATTTATTATCGTTTTGTAATTGTTACTCCTGATCGTTTTCAACTTAACTGTATGTCTTATTGTATATTGTACTATTCATTTATTCTATTTTCATTATAAAAGACAGAGAGGCATATATTTGAAGGTTCAAGTATGATTATTTACTATCACTTGTCTCTCATATCTAAAATCTTTTAACTTTGTACTGCATTAGAGTTCATTCTATACTTACGCGAGCACCTCGCTAATTGTCGGACCGCTTTTTTCTCTAAATATACATGACTATATGTAAGCGAGGATGCTAATTCCACATATCATAGTCGTTTTTCTCCAGGGCACTCTGGAAACCACTTTATACAGTGAAAACGTTTTTTCACAAAGTCAATTCCTGATCAGTCACATTTGTAGAGTATGATGAGTTGTATATGTACATATTCTTTTTTGCTTTTGAAATGCGTTTCGACAATACTGTACCGTTAGTTTATTGTGCGAAGGTGGCTGCTGGAGCTCTGTAGTTGTATTGTATCACATTGTATCACTCATATACTGGAAACTGGCTCCACTGAGAATCACAGATTATGTAGATAAATTCTACCAGAGTCAAAACTCTTTAAGAGTCTGTGGAGCTCATCTTTTGTTCAAAAGTATTTTTTTGACTATGTCGTTGTTCAAACACATCGCAAAAGCAGAAAAGAATATGTACATACACAGCTCTACAAACGAGACAGATCAAGAATAAAACATATTCATGTCCCGTTGATGTCGCAATATCTCGGAACGGTTTTCTTGCGTTCTGTCTATACAATGCACGCACTCGCACGGTCAGCTTTTAAGTCAATTGACGGTCAGCACAGCGTCCACCTGAACGTGAATATGACTCCTTGATTTTCCATGAAAAACTAGTTTCGCCGTGAAGAGTGGTCGCCCTGTGAAAAAACAATGATTGATATTCGGAATCAGTATCCTCGTTTACATGTAGTCACGTATATTTAGAGAAAAAATGACTCGACACTTAGGGAGCGAGGATATAGAAGGAATAGGAAGGGAGAATATCGACGGATTTATTTTCAGCTGGCCAGATGCAACACGGAGGAAATCTCGTAGCGCCTCTCGGACAGAATTAACTTCTCCATCTTACATTGCATTTTGCTTTAAAGTTATTTTTGAAAAATTTTCTGACTGTGTTTGTTTTCCGAGTAAAGGATAAAATATCACATATCCCAAAATTGTCCTTATGCAAAGCCGTACAGCGCCTTTTTTTTTGTTTTTGTGAGACATAACTTCTGTATAGACTATGACAGGACTGAGTTTTTGATTTTCTCTTTCTCGTTTACTCATTGCACTAATTCGACTTTTCAAGCACACGCTTCTCAGAGGTTTTTCTCACCGCTTTTGCCATACTTCGTAAACGTCAGACTCATAATTCCATGCAAAACTACGGGAAACTCGAGTAGAAGACCCATCAATCAAGATCAGATGAACAAGAGATTAGCATAAAGTATATGAAAATCATCATAAATTATATATCAACAATTAGAAATTATTGAATTATAAACTCTACGGTGAAAGGATCAATCACATCATATTCTCCATTTGTGTTGTGTAGACACGAGTGAACAAAAAAAACGTCAGATATAGCAAGGATGTTGTTCCTTTCTGACGAATATGGAAGAAAGATACAAGTGAAAAACATTAGTTTTTTTGCAAACCTCAGGAGAGAAAAAATAGTTAATTAACGTTTTCATTGTCGTTCACATTCCTTGAAAAACGCGTCGTGAACTTCCGAAAAACGCGTTGGTTTTGAAACCTTTAACGCGTTTCTTTGTCAATTTTTTTACCCCCGAGAAAGCAAGGAAACGAGTAAGATAAGTATGCCGCATGTCCAACGTTCAAAATTGAACGAAGAACATGAATATTTTGTGTACATTTTTTCTTTAGATGTCTGTCGTACCATCTGACGATGTTTCGATTGATAGAGATCGAATTGTCGACGATAAAGTATCGGATGAATTTTTTTGTCCAATCTGTCGCACTTTATTGTGGAATCCCGTTGCGTGTAAAACATGCGAAAACACCTTTTGTAGACGGTGCATTAATCAATGGCTTGCACAAAAAGACGCTCAAAATAGATGTGTATTCAATTGTAGATACGCAGAGAAACGATGTTCGCCTGCCCTCAAGTCCCTCTTATCCAAACTCCTCTTATCGTGCCAATATAAACGCTCTGGCTGTAGTCAAAGCATCTTGTACGAATCGATAGAAAAACACGAACTACAATGTGAATATCAAGCAAAAAACTGTCGAGGATGTAAGAAAAACTTTACAGTCAAAGACTTGAGGCAACATGAAGATTATTGTGAACATATTGAAGTTGAATGCGAGATATGTCATTGCAAAATAAAACAAACACAAGTCAAATTCCATGTCTTCAAATGTGTTCAAAAACAACTACTGGTAGATATCAACAAATTATTGGAAAAAAGCGATGTTGAACAACAAAATGAGTTTCAAGAACTACATAAAACAGTTCAAACGTTGCAACAGGAATTTGAATGTCTTCAAATGAATTTGGTATTGATAAAAAGTGCCTTAGAAAACGGATCGAGTAAGTTGATGAATACGTGACCGGAATATCAAAATAAAATATCCGTTCTCGAAGACACTATACGCCATGCAGAAGGATCACTGATGGCACATTTAGCTATTGTGGGAAGTAAAACATACGACGAGAAAACAACAAATGATATAAACTCGCTGAATATTGTTTCAAGAATAGACACTCTCACAAAACTAGTGCACAATCTCAAGAAGAGTGATATTCCTGATGAATTGAGAAATCAGGAAGAGTGCAAGTTAGCGGAAATCAAATTAGTGACTAAGTTAGAATTTGTTATAGATGAACTAAAATTGATGAAAAACACAATCGAAAATCTCGAATGTGATCGAAGTTCACTGAAAAAACAGTACGAAACAAGTCGATTCAAACAGTGTATCGTTGAAAATAGATTAGATATTGTTGAAAAGCGTATCCAAAAGAAAAATGAGAAATCAGTCAAAATACTTGAAGATATTGAAAGTAGTATGGCAAAAGGTTGTCCATAAATCTCGGCAATTTTCATTAGTTCAAGAATCGTACAAATGATTATGGTTCGATAATATTTGAATATCGACAAAGTAACATGAAAAGACATGATGATACGTTAGACTCACTACGAGAAGTATTACAAAGAACAGAACATAACTTCAATATCCGTGCACGAGTATTACGAGAACAAGTGACTCAATTTCAAATAAAGCTAAATCACATATTGAAACAACAGGACAACAGAATTTTGAACGAATTAGAAGATATAAGAATGAAAATAAAAGCGATAGAAATGCAGAGATATTCAATACAAACCATAATAAATGTATTCATCTTTGGTCTAGCTATTATTTTTTTATTATGTTTTTTATATTATTATTTTGTCTTTTAATTTGTATTACACTTTATTTATAGAGTATTTTATTTCCAATCATTGATAAACAGTGACTGCCGTGCATTTCCAATTTCTGCACGAGCAAGAAAGCGATCGAACATCATAATAGTAATAGATTAAAGGTGTTATCCACGCTGCTATCGTCGTTTTCAATTTTTCGCCGCTGCCGCTCATAAAGTTTTTAGTTTGACACCGCCGCCGATAAATAGTAATCGATTAACACCTCTATTAGAGAAGCTATCAAAATTCGCAAAGATGAATTTATTCACCGGTGACTGAATTTGAAAGAAAACTGAGTACAGTATTGTTCAATCTGACTGAAAAAAAAATGGGTAGCGCTATTGCCACCTCAAGATGTGTCACCGAGGAGCTATTGCCACCTTCGGAAGGTGGCACTGACAGCTATTGCCACCTTCAGATGGTGTCACTGACGGCTATTGCCACCTTCAGATGGTGTCACCAAGGAGCTATTGCCACCTTCGGAAGGTGGCACTGACAGCTATTGCCACCTTGCAGTTCACTATTATGTCAGATGATGGCAATAAGGGCTATTGGCACCTTCTTGTTCACTATTATGTCCGAAGGTGCCATAACGTCTACAACAGTCGGGGTTCTTTATGTTTGTGTGACAGATGAGATGTGTCGATCTTTTTGTCTTCAGGATTGATTTATCAGTAGTATGGTGGAAAAGCCGTTTTGTAATATTACTAGCGGCAATTCTTGTGTTTTACGGAAACGTTTGACGTGCTGTAGATGATAGTTATTTTTTGATATACTGCTCTGATGAAAGATCCATTTTATTATGGAAAACCATTACTTCAAAAACATGGAACTGCTGAAAAATGAACATTTATAACATAAATAAATGGAAAAATGAATATTTTAATGGTTCACTATTACTGATGTTCTTCGATTTTGCTAAAATGAAAGAAAATCAGAAAAATGGTGGTAATAGCCGTTGTTCACACCTTCGGACATAATAGTGAACAAGAAGGTGGCAATAGCCGTTATTGACACCTCCTGAAGGTGCAATAGCTCTTTGGTGACACTTCTGAAGATGCCCATAGCCGTTGTTGACACCTTTTGAAGGTGCCAATAGCCATTCCGAAAAAAAATATCATAGTCACATAACAGAAAGGTCATATATGTATATGTTGCAGGGAGTGTATACGTTCCCGATAGTGGTCATGGAATTTAAGTATATGATATCGAAATTTCTCTTCTTTATTATATTCTTGAAATATAATAAATTCATGAATTATGGTGTCTGAAGTTAGAGTATAGAGAAACTCGTCGAAGAAAATCTGAAAGCTTCCCATTCCAAGAAAAATAATGTATTTTTAATTCTGATACGTTCGTTCGAACCTCTAGACTGTCTACTCTAAACCTACACGAGTTCCAAATTTTTACGCCCCATGATTCGGGAGCTATAGGCATTTTCCCAGGATCTACCTATCGGCTAAACTTCATGTCTGGAAACTTTCATAACACATGGACACACATAGGTTATCAATCACGGTAAATATTATTGCAATGTTAGTTTTTAGAAAAAGCTTTAAAAAATAAGTGAACTTCTATAATAGTTTTAAAAACCAACAGAAAGAAGTTTGTTTTTGAAACGTTTTTTAGAAAACTTTGGGAATAAGAGAATGTTTGGCACTAATTTTTGACTACAAAAAATACGGTTAAGCACATAAAATGGAGTATATGCTGACATACTGAAGCAGTTTAGAACAATTTTGACTGGGTTATGAAATTTTTAATTTTCGATGAACATAGTGAAAAATGGATTATTTCGTCGAGTAAAGGTTTTCACTAGGTTTTTTAAGCTTTTTCGAAAAACAGACATTGCCATAATGTTTAGCGTGGTCGATAACCTATGTGTCCATGTGTGTTGAAAGTTCCCAGTTTAGCCGATAGGTAGGTCCTCGGAAAATGCCTATAGCTCTCGGATCATGGAAGAGGGAGCAAAATTCGGGACTTTTGTATCATATAAATGACTTAAAATGATCATCAATAGCTCTCAGTTTCTAGGATGAAAAGGCTATTGATTGTTTCACGTTTTCATCTAGTGAACATTTCTGTATTTCGTTATGTGTAAATAGATTAGTGACCAATTCACAAAGTAAACGTTGCGTTGAGGATGTGTAGCTTCTTTCTTTCCAGCAGCAGTATCTGATCGTCTTTTGGCTCGCATATAAGCTCCTAACGGCAAACGGAATTCTTGTTTACTAATGGAATCGGTCAAAAACATTAACTATTGAATTAAAAAAAGAATATAACCTAGTAACGATAAATGTCAGAATTTGTGCAACTTACTCTTAGTCTGTAATATGTCACTAGCTACAGTTGAGCTTGTGCTTTCAGTTATGCTAGACAAATTATATATCCCCCGAAAAAAAATATTTTCACTCTGTATTTCTCATTTATTGTCACTATAAAAACACATTTATTTAGAACAAACCACATATTCTGAAAGCCTGTGGAGTTCTCTATCGCCCTGTGTATTGACTTATTTTTTTGCATTCGTTTATTGAAAAATAATTTGAACACAATGAAGACACCGTCATGTCCAGATTCCCACAGACTTGATTTTTTCTTTATTGTCAAAAATAGATTTTAAAATTTTTCGTTACCATAGAATGATCTTTCTGAAAAGACAATTATAGATGCTGATAGAGCTTGAAATTCTCTATCACCCTGTCTATTTACTTACTTTCTTGCATTCATTTATTGAAAAATAATTTGAGTACAATGAAAACTTCCTCAATCGACAAGCACTAAAAATCTATATTTTTTTCGCTGTTTTTTTAATTATTACCCTCAAAGAAATAAATTATATAAAAGAAATTATTCCATTGTTAGTGCATGAAATTCTCTATCATTCTACGTATAATTATGTTGCCCTAAACTCGTTTTCTAAGATATTATTCGGATATCATGTAGACATTTTTTGATAAAATTCTTTTAAAAAGTCATTTTTTTATTGTTTTGTTATTCTTTTATTTTCAAATTCAATATCAACTAGCGCGATAACAAATTTTTATACAAAAAAAGAAATAATGTCCTAATGATTATTCAAAGTTCTACTTATCCCAAACTTTCCCAGCCTTGAACCGCTATTACTTGATAACAAACATCTTGAATATGGTCAATATAACCACGTATTACAGATTGTGGAATTTGATTCCAAGCATCAATAACTAATTGTTCAAGACGTTGTTGAGAATTAGGATGACGTCGTTGCACTAACAATGGAATAATTTCTTTTATATAATTTATTTCTTTGAGGGTAATAATTAAAAAAACAGCGAAAAAAATATAGATTTTTAGTGCTTGTCGATTGAGGAAGTTTTCATTGTACTCAAATTATTTTTCAATAAATGAATGCAAGAAAGTAAGTAAATAGACAGGATGATAGAGAATTTCAAGCTCTATCAGCATCTATAATTGTCTTTTCAGAATGGTCATTCTATAGTAACGAAAAATTTTAAAATCTATTTTTGACAATAAAGAAAAAATCAAGTCTGTGGGAATCTGAACATGAGGGTGTCTTCATTGTGTTCAAATTATTTTTCAATAAACGAATGCAAGAAAATAAGTCAATATACAGGGTGATAGAGAACTCCACGGGCTTTCAGAATATGTGGTTTGTTCTAAATAAATGTGTTTTTATAGTGACAATAAATGAGAAATACAGAGTGAAAATATTTTTTTTCGGAGGGGTATCATCGGATCGAAAAAGTTTAAAAGCTTGTTTGGCAGAACCGATTGTAGATTCGTCTTCTCCATGGTCGATTATCTGGTATGCACCCACGGAAAAGCGCCCCAATTTTTTGGCTTATTTATCTAGATCCAGCTCCACGTGCATCCAGATGTAGGTGGAGCTGAATCTAGATAAATATTCCAAAAAATTGGGTCGTTTTTGCTTGGGCAGTAACTTCCGGCTCGGGATACTTTCGAAAAATATTTTCTCATGGTCTTACTCAAAAAGTTTTCAAACAGTTACTGTATTGCCTTCTAACGTCATTATATGATACGCGTGTTCTTTCGAAAACGTACGACGTTTACATCGACTGTATCCCAACAGTTCGAAAGTAACAGGACTATCACAAGTCGAGCTCCTGATGACGAATATCACGTTTAAAATATTTTGAAACAACGGCGTCGTGGTCTTCCACACCTGTGAATCCCATTTCCCAGTAGAACAGACGTTTTCTGGACACTTTCATCATTTTTTAGCGAAACGCTTTCATGAGCTGGTATCGTTAGATTAGAATCTATATCTACAGCACTGCAAAATTCCTAACGGACAAAAAGTTCCAAAACGCTAAGCACATTTTCAGGAAAAGCCGATCAGCACGTTTGCCGAAAAGCCGGTCTTTTTTGTAAATGATATATTCCCCCAAAAATGGTGTCAACACACTACAACAAGGTACGCATTCGACGCATCTTTTCAAGTTCTATCTGATGAAGTGGTTCTCATTGAGATTAAAAATCACCTAATAGTAGAAAAAATAACTTTTTTTAAGGGCGATTTTCCTCTTTTTTCGAAGTTTGAGTACGTGCTGCACCATTCCAGGAGATTACACGACGTGCGGTGACGTATATTTCGCATGTGCTCGACGTGGGCTATTAGAAAACAGGTTTTTGCTTTGCCCAGGCATTACCCAACTCTTTACTTGATAACTACTACTGTTTTTCATAATTTCCACAGAGAGCCAAAATACTTGGTATTTATTATCCTGCGTTTCATTTTACATACCCAAATTATTTCTTATGCTTCAAAATCATATTGCTTGTCTATTTCAGAATATATTGTTTGTGCTACATCGACGCTATTATTTCACCCTTAAAACTTTAAAACGTTCGTTACATTTCTTTGTAAAATTTGTTTGTGAATAGCTTGTGTAACAGTCTTTAAACCAGATGACTGAAGTGTTTGTAAAACAATCGAAGACGTCTAAAGCATGTAAAATGTGTTAAGGGTATCCCTCCCCTCATTTTGGGCTTTCTACAAAAATGCTGTGAAATAAAAATTAAGACTCACTAAGGCTTTATATTTTCAAAAATGATTGGAAACTCAATGGAGCACTTTTGGTCTTTATTTCAAGCTTTTAACTATTGGCATACACGAGGTTTACAGAAAACTCGGGTTTTCATTGGAGCACATTATGACCCCCCTTAAATTTCATCCGAACGAGTTAAAAATTTCACCATAGGTACTTAAGGTTATAGCGTAGAGGCATAATTTTGGAATTTTATTTTACTTTACTTTTTTTTCTTTACTGATACGGAATATTTTCTCTATAATTACGAAATTTTTCTTTACTGACTTATAGGAAAAATACTGGAAAACTCTCAAAACTCAAGTTTTTAAATTTTTAGAAACCCTATAACTCGGTAAACAAAGGTCTAAAATAAAATTCCAAAACTATACCTCTGCGCTATGAACTTGAGTACCTCTGATTCAATTTTTAACTCGATAGGATGAAATTTAAGGCGGATCATAATGTGGTCAAATGAAGCCCGATAGCAAAATATAATTTTCGGAAAAAGCGCATGTTGTACACCGGCTACTTTTTTCAGGGCATTTCATATCTCCATGAAAACTCATCGGAAAATTCTGGAAAACGTCTCATTGTGAAGAAAACGCTTTCTTCTATCAAACTATGCGTGAGAAAATTTCCGAATGTGCAGAAAAGGAGAGAAAAGTTTAAAAAACTAAAAAATTGAGCTTTTTTAGGCTTTAAAGAAAATACTTCAAAACTGCATAATTTTTGATAGGGGTGGGACAGCTCCAGTTCAGTTGTTTTTAAAAAAATTAAAATTGAAATAAAATCGATGAACCTACTTACATTAACTTTGTGTAGTGCGCCGGAGATGGATGGCGTATTCCTCTGACTAAACCAAGTCAACATAACTAGCTACATCAGTTTTATTATTTTAAATTCTTGAAAAGAACTGGTAATCAGTTTCAACGGGAACTGAACTAGTGACCAGTTCTTAGGAACTGGAACTGTCCCACCCTACTTTTTGAAGAAAGATCGTGGAGTGCTGGGAGCCGTCTCATTTTAGCTCACACTTTCCGCTACATTAGGCTATGTTCAGCTTAAAACCCAATTTTTTTTCAAAAAAGAGGGGATGGTACCCTTAAATCGTAATAGTAAGAAATGAAAAACATCATGCCAACATTTAATCACACTTACAACTGTTGACGTGCTATTATTATGAAACTTGGGTGGAATAAAAAAACGGAATGGCTATTGCCACGCTCGGGCGTGTGAACAAGGAGCTATTGCCACTCCCTGGGCGTGTCAACAAGGAGCTATTGCCACGCCCGGGCGTGTCATCAAGGAGCTATTGCCACTCCCTGGGCGTGTCAACAAGAAGCTATTGCCACTCCCTTGCCGTGTCTATGAAGACATAGTGCCTCGTTTCTCACACTAATCCCAACTGGTACATACGTGCAGGAGTCAAAAGTTGAATTCAACTATTAATAGTTGAAAAATTATTTCAATTATTGAACTAGTCATTTATTCAACTATTCATTCAACTCGTTACTTCTGAAAATGAATAAAATAGAAACTATTCGACTTTTCAGATATTCAGTTGCAAAAAACGTTCCATACTTATCCAGTTTTGCATTGGAGGTGGTAAATTTTCCACTTGGACACGAATGAGGCAGGAGGTCGGGACGGAGGGGAGTAGGGGTGGTGAGAGTGAATGTAGAATTGAATTAACACTTGAATAATTGAATAGCTGAATAGTTGGAATAGTTGAATTGAACTTTTGACTTCTACACTACTCAACTAGTAATATTTATTAATATTATGTATATAGTATTTATATTAATATTTATTTTTTAAGGAAAACTGTATAGTGAAAAAGTAGTGAAGAGAAAAGACGGATGGCTTTCGAATTGTTTTCCAAAGTCTTGAAGTGAAGCTCTCTGGAAACGTTGAAGAAATAAAGATAAATCATGCCTTTATATAAGAAAATATCTATCGGAAAAAAAATGTTAATCTATGCGGACGGGTATATTTTTTGATAAAAGTGAAATATAGGTATGAATCTCAACAGAGAAGACTATATAAATATCATTTTCTAATGAAGATAAATCTGCAGCCTCATTTTCAAGAATTGGGTATAAAAGAAAATTAGAGAAAAAAAAAGCAAAATATTATTTATGGTTATACTCAGTTAGTCTGTGAAAATGTATAAAACTGCTTGCTATGAACCTCAAGGAAAATATTCAGAAGATTTCTTCATCTTAGCACCTTGTTGACCCGCCCAAGGAGTGGCAATAGCTTCTTGTTGACACTCCCAGGAGTGTCAATAGACTCACCCATAAAAAAACTGCTGTGAGTGATTTCGTACGGACGGCTAAAATGTATTGGCAGTTTCGGCTTTACTTTCTTTCAACGAGTACGCATGAATTTGTCACACTGTGATGAGAAAATATTATTTGAGTAGCAGAGTTGAATGGACGGGCCAATTTTATTTTATGAAATCCTTTTCGAGATGAGATAAGTCAAAAAGAGTTTTCATAAAGACTTTTGTACATTAAAAGTTTCAGTGTCAAAATCAAACTTAAATCTAGTGGTGTAGGTAAGTTACAAAATAAATCATAACTTATAACTTATAAACTTCCGGTAAAGAATTAGACACAAAAATTACTCATACTGGCAAGATACCCCATATGAAAACGCGACAGCATGAGTTTTCTGTGAAACGACTGAAACAGCATCCACTTTTCTCAAAATAATAAAATTTCTCTTTGTTTATCTAACTGTTTATACTTGAAAAAGAATATATACTAAAGCTTCAAATTTTGTATCTAAGGATGGCAAATTTTACTTGGTCGATTACTTATGGCATCTGCCCAAACATGTCTCACCAAAAAATATTCAATTTTCACTTCACAACTGATCGCGATCAGTTAACGAGAAACAGCGTAGTCTTATAGAAGGTATACGCTGTAAATACTGGAAGGGGATCGATAAGCGGCAAAATCGGTCCCCTCTCGGAGAATTATCCTATACAGGGATCTGGTGTGGTTTCTCTCCAACATTAAAACTGATACATTTCTAGACCTTAAAACACGCTTCCTGGTGTTCCTTGGCAAAATGTGTAAAAACTTAGAACTTCTTAGAGTGTTTCATTATTTCACCTCCTTTGCTCACAAAAACTCAACTATTATATATCATTCGATAGAGAATTTCTGAGAAGAGCACTCTTGCCCTACGACAAACCGTGCTACATCCAGTCTAACTGAATGTCCCAAAAAAGATATCTTTCATATGTATTAAACGTGAATGATTCGCATTGACAAATATAGTTGATGATGATTGAAGTTAAGCCGGTTTTAAACCTTTTCATGAAGACATTATTATGAATAAAAATGAAAGACACCATTAGTATTGTTAGGTACTTTTGGTGAAGATGAAATGATTGATGCAGATGTCGATGCTCTATTTTTTCTATCTGCCATATCATAATCATTTGAATAAGTTGATGAGGATGTTTCTGTTTGTCTAATTAGTAATGCCAATGATGAGAGTTGTGTTGGTTGTTGTTGAGGTGTATTAACATATGCTGTGACATGGACAGAAAACCATGAAACGTATATCGTACACATGTTGCTTGAAATGAGACCTATGCTTGCTCGTGAATGACGATACTTATAATATTCTATCAAATCCCTGGAGAGATAACACAATAGAGCTAAGGATTTTGAGATTACACGGATGTTATTTTTTTGTTAGGTTTTGTAAAACAAACAAAAAACATGAAGAAAACGCAATAGATCAGTTTGGATAAAAGAGTGTGTGATGGGAAATATGAAGTAGTCTTTCTCTACGGTCGGTTAAAAACAGTTTTTTGGCAGTTAATTTGAGTACTGTTATGATCAAGTAAGAGAGTAACCAGTTATAAATAAAAGACATACGAGAACAAAAATTACAATCCCAATCATAGCACCAATTATATTTGATACAATTAATAAATTAGATACTCTTTGAGAAATTTTATAAGCATCAATATATTCACCATTTTTAATCATATTTTTTATACGTCCACTGTAATATAATGCAGCACAAGGACCAATAATAAAAAAACATAGTATTGTTGATAATAATGCCCAAGTAAAATGATCTTTGATATCATCAGCAGTTAATTGTTTTGGTTCGAATGTTTGAAGCAACTTTCGCTTCTTATATAATAAATTTTTCGTTGCTGTTTGTTTAAAACGTTTACGATGATTTTCTTTTTCCGATTCTACTGTATATATAAGCTCATCAACACTTGTGTTGATCTGATTTGCTTTTTGTATACGCATTTACTTGCTGCTAGAATAATAACATTAATAATGAAATCCCAAGAAAAGTTGGATGAAATAGTCAGCTGTATAGAAGTGGTACAGCAAGATGCACTCGTCAAACCCTTCCTCTTGGATTTCATACTCTTTCTGTGTTATTATTATACATTCATACAATTTAGTCATTTGGTAATTAAAGCAGATATTTGTCATAAGTACATGAACGTGCCTAGCACCGTAGAAGAGAAACGACGTTCTATCTCTGTTGTCAATAAAAACTCATTAATAATATGATAAGGTGCGGGAAATTCAAAATTCAAGTGGAAGGTTTCTTGGCGATATTTACACATGGTTAGATAGAGCTCGTTGAGCTGAATAAGAATATCTCTGTTTTACCCTTTGAAAAAATTTCTTAAGTGGAAACACTTAAAGTCTAAAAAATTTTGAAAATCCTTAAAACAGCCTAGTATTCCAGAATAAGTGAAAAAAAAACACTTTCTGCTTTGTAATATAGTAATAATTTTGAAATTATTTTATCGTTATTCTACATCAAAACGTGTTTTTAAATGATCTTAAATTAAAACGTTTAAATAGAAAATGACGATGGATCTCTCGAAAAAAGTGCTCCTAACTAATTTTGTACAAGCAACAACTTTCTCTAATCAAAAGATAAAATCGATTATTTCCTGCCATTCTAACCATCACAGTGACATGGAAAAATTTACTTATCCTTTTTTCGGGATTCTGTTCGGGATTCTGTAAGATATTGCATTTTTGTTAAAATTATCAAGTTTTGTCTAAAAACTTATATATCATTTAAAACTCTAATTTATCTTGTATGATTTTACATAGTAGCGTATGAATTTTCAAAATACATAGATTTCTTTCTTACATACAACTTTATCTTTAGTTTTACATGTAGACATAAAGGTGTGCTTTAGTGATATTCTGCCATTTTATTACTCATTTTTCTGTTAGGTAATATAAATTTATTTTTATTGACTGCTGATCTACAATCTTTGTAACGCGTACGTTGTCAAAACAACTGAGGATGCTTTGTATTGCTTTGTACTGATGATCCACATAACAAAACAGATAAAAACTTGTATATTGGTTTGTATATTTATTTTTTTTTACACGATAAGGTTTTCGGTAGGTAGAAAAGTCTTAATTAGTATTAATAACATGATCTTTATAATAAAAGAACTGAGCATTGAGACGTAATTAGCAATTTTATTAAACAGACGAGCGATGATGATTCAGCAAATACCAGATACGATTATTTCTACACTATATAATTCCTTTGATTATAGTTTAAAATATGTTGAGTTAATTTCAGAAAAGTTAAAAGAAAGTTCGTGCGCTATTAATGGAGAAGTTATGCAATTAGTGCCGGAAGATATAAGATGAATGTTTAGTTCGCACTTATGAAACCAAACCAAAAACCATTAAAAGCTAGTTTTTGAATAAATGAATCTTTTCTCCTTTTAATCAATCATTCCTGGCATAATGATACAGTGGAGCCGGTAACTTCACAGGTTTTATTCCCGGCCTACCGTAGAAAAGTGAAACTTAAAATCGTCAAAACATACGCCTTCTTTCACACATAATTTGGTAATACACAATAATTCTTTATTTTACTAATTCGAATATAAAAGAACGAGTAACCTCTACAACACAATCGGCACGATTTGTGCACTAAATGTACGGTCCATCCAAAAGTTTTCTGTGTCTTTCATCTAAAAATGGATAGACAGTACGAAGACATATGCAAGACAGCATTTTCGAAGATACAACAAATTTGTTTAATGAACGTTTTTTCGTGAAAGACACCTGTGGCAGACGCAAGTTTTAGAGTGTATAGTGAGTCAACGATAATTTTACAGAATCGTATTTTATATGTTGTTCAAGGTTCATATGATTCATCTACACATTGAATCATATGAATCTTGTTGAAAAGAAATCAATTTCGTCACTCAGACAACGAGCTGAAAAAGAATGAGAAACATTCATTAGTCTATTTGTTTATGAGAACTATATATCATTCAGCTCTCTTTACACACTTCAGAAGTCTTTGCTCTATTGTTGTATGAAAATTGCTAAAACGATTCAGATATGGTTTCGTATACAACCAGTTAAGCGACAACAACACAATAGACAGACAAATGAGTCATGATTAACAGAAAGGTGTTCTGAATTGTTGTTTTGTAAGGAAGGTTGATAACTTTGTAGACATTTTAATTTCTCTTCCAGATGGAAAGATGTTATTATTTAAATCTTTTGTAGTGTGTGACGTTTCGTTGCAGTTTACAATTTCATCAGACGAATATGAAATGATGAAGTTGTAAACTACAACGAAACGTCACACACTACAAAAGATTTAAATAATAACATCTTTTCATCTGGAAGAGAAATTAAAATGTCTACGAAGAAAGGTGTTCTGTCTCAGTTTGTATGAGAAGAAGTGCGCAATTAAGAGAAGGAATTTTATTGGCAAAGACTCGCTTTTGGTACGATGGATGGGTCAAAAGTCCTTACCGCAACTTAACTAAAGGTCATGTGAACTTATTGTTACGTTTTAAAAATACCACAGTTAGTTATGACAGTTACGCCAGAAATCATGTGAGGTACAAAAGATGAGAAAGAAGTGAGCTAGCCTGTTTTTACATTATCTCTTAGCAAGTACATGAATGGAATTATTCTTTTCTGTTTTGCTTACTTCTCTTCCCATTCTAGACAATAGTGTAAATCGAAAATAACAAAAGCTCCACTTCAGTTCTTCTATCCTTCTTTTCTTTCTGGGTATCACGGCATGGTTTCAGGTATTACCGTTTTAGTTTTTGATAGTGTACTTGCATTACTAATAACAATAACAGTGCTGTACCACCCCAACGAAAAAGTTAAATGTTTTAGAAATGAAAAGAAATATCACTGCTACGTTACGCTCCTTGTATACATAATATTTAAACTTGTTTATTTTAGTGTTGAATAAGATGAAGCTTTGTTAAATAAAAATAAAAAGCATTTTTGTTATGAACACTCAAAGCCTTTCAAAAGAATTTGTGTATGGTGTTGATTGGAGTAGTATCGCTAAACCAACGTCACATTGTTGGTTCGAATGTCTACAGAAGATTAAAAGCATAAGAGATTCATCATGTCAATATCCAATTTGTAATATTCAAACTATTTCATTATTAATTACTACAGATGCGACGCATTCAGTGTTTAATCAAAGAGAGACTACTCTATTGCAGTGTGCGTCATGTTCATTAATCATACATTCTCATCATATTATGGATGAATTATCTATTGCAAGAATTCCATCATGTCGACTGTCATTTGTTAATGATACGATAGACGCATCACATTTCGATAAACATTATTGGCAAGATATAAATGTATTAAAATATCGCTGTAATTGGTGTAAAAGAAAATCCAATATCTTGCCGTCATCAGATAATTGCAGGATAGCAAGGTCACCAATGAATACAGAATGCTCAAGTGCAATAACATGTTTATGGTGCTCACGTTCGTATCATCGACAATGTTTTGAAAAAGAAGTAAATCCGAAGTTGAGAAGTGATTGTGATTATGGTGAAATGAGGTAAAATAATTAGATACTGCTGGTTTACAAGATCTGTGTAGAATAGACTAATCTTATGCTGATGTTCTGACTCATTTTTCATGAGATTCGACTTAAAAAATCTGTTTTTGACTGATAAAAGAAATTTGAGTTTAATCTAAGTTAATTCGAAATTAACGATACAGTCTTTTTAACTTACATATAAAATTAGCAATTGATAAAATCCACACTATATTCAATAAAGGACGGGATGCAGTAAGAACGAGAATCGGCCCCATTTTAAATTTTCTCGAAAGATGTCTATGAAAGAGCATGTGATTTTATGGTGTTCCAGATCCCTGGTTTCCCTTCGGACTTGATTAGGGGTGGGACAGTTCCAGTTCCTATTGTTTCTAGTAACTAGTTAAAAGAACTGGTGACCAGTTACCGTTATTAGTAACTGGAACTGGTGACCACTTACTATTTTCTTCATAATCAAGATGTAGAAAAGTTGATGCTCATCTATCTTGTTTTTTATACTGTAATAAACTCATCTAGCTCAGTTCCTACAGACAATACTGATACTTTAATGTGAGTGTTCCTATACTACGGGAAGCGCCTTTAACTGTTTAAAGAAATTACAGAGGAACAGACATCCACTTAGAGATGTAAAATTATGGTGATTTGAAGGAACAGTAAGTGGTTACCAGTTCCAGTTACTAGTAACGGGACCGGGAACTGTCCCACGTCTAGACTTGATATCTGTGAGAAAATCGATTAGCTTTGACCAATAGCTCCGTGAACCCATTGCGATGTGTTTTTCGTATTTTTCTCAGAACGAAACAAGTTTGAAGAAAAGTCTTATCCGTATAGACTCAAAATTCTCAGTCCAGTCGATGGACTGAAAAAGTCTAGTCCAGTCCAGTTCGAGTCCATGAAAAACAGTTTTTTCAGTCCTTGGACTCTAAAAACGTAATCCATTCCAATCCACAATACAAAACTACCTGTTTTCCTCGATTCAAGTGAATTCAAAATTTTTTTTCGAGTACAGTCCAGTCCGGGTCCATAAACTTCAAAAATTTTCAGTCCAATCCCGTTTATGTGGACTGGCCTGGACTATGGACTCAGGCTAGTCCATACGGAGCTCTGCTATATAACACTCTTTTGCGACAGAAATGAATTCGTTCCACTATGATCCGTAAGCGGTATATATTGTCTTGTTGATGTCAGATTGTTAAACCGTCTTCTGATATCGTGTGAGGGATTTTCGGAAACAAAAATTACAATCCCACAAAAATTACAAGCCAATTGCATGATATGAAGATATGCTTGCTGTTATACTAAACTAAGAAAAATTTACTCATTTGCTTCCTGTTCCTTTCAGAAATATAATCGTTCGTCCACAATGGATAAAACACATTCCACATGAAAAACCATATCCATTTAAAGCCAAAATGAATGAAAAGCGTTCGTCAGATTTGAGTGAATCCTATTCGCCAGTACTTATATTTATCAATATACGCAGCGGAGGGCAAACAGGAAGAGTAATTTACCCAAAACTGTTGAAGATCTTAAATCCTAGACAAATATTTTTAATAGATAATAATCAGACAATATTTCAAGCATTAGAAATTTATAAAGATCTAGTAAATACTCGTATATGTGTGTTCGGAGGTGACGGCAGTGTAGGATGGGTAATATCCAGATTAGCTGATTTTTATCAAGGATTATCTAACCCAGCGGTCGGTATTTGCCCGCTTGGAACAGGGAATGATTTATCTAGAGTTTTAAACTGGGGTGCTGAATGTGATACTACACATTTAAAAAGAAGATTAATACAAATTTCAACAGCTCGTCAACTACCATTAGATCGATGGCGTGTTGAATTAGAAGTAATTGCCAATAATACTAATGATGAACATCATAGTATAGTCAAAAATCAAGATTTTGTTGCAGAAGATTATAATAATAACAATAATCGTTATTCATCATTGCATACAATGAATGTTCCAAAATTTATTCGTGAAACAAATCGTCCGTCATATCAAAATCATACCAAATTACCAAATTCTTATTTCATTGATTACATGTCTTTTGGTTTAGATGCTGCTGTTATATTAGAATTTCATGATCGTCGAACACGTAAACCAGAAAAATTTACTAGTCGTTTAAAAAACAAACTTATATATATAAATGAAGGCCGCAAATACGTCGGAGACTTCGCCATGGGATTTATGAGGCGATGGGATCTGAGTGGTTATATTAGATTAATATGTGATGATGTCAATTTTACAAATTCTATGCATAATTGTCATACACTTGTTGTATCGAATATTCCAAGCTATGAAGCTGGCACAAATCCGTGGGGAGAATCACCTATTTTTCCGATGGCCACTACTAATTTGATATTCGATAAAACATCTATGAATGCTTTAAAATTAAATAAAAATGAAGATCGAGGAGAACCAAACCCATCTGTAAGTGTACATGATTGTAACTATCAATACAAAAGTTACTGTTGAGAACCCTCTATTATATTTGAACAGAGGATGGTATAAATCGAATTTTCTTCCTTGGATAGAGTACGGTCTAAAAAACCATATCTCAAATATAGTTTATATGCATTCTAGTTCAAACTTTAGGCAAATAATGAGGAACACCAAAAGTAGAGTGCAACCATTCAACATTCAAAATATTTTTTCTCAAGCAGGATGAAACTAGTTTTTTAAGTTATACTATAATGTTTTACAGTTATATATCAAGCTTTATTCAAGGCAGAAAGAATTCGTTCTCTCAAATACCTTGATCAACTACAGTCAATTTCTAACGACTATTTTTGTATCATAGGTTCATCTACATAACATTGAGGAAGCTTCGTCAGAAGTAACAATTATACAATCGAAAACAAAGACTGAAATTGGTCGACAAAACTTTGGCGACCAAAAACTCGAAGTTTTCGGACTTACAGCCACAGATTTGGGTCTTATACACGTCGGATTTCGTGGTATACGTATCACGCAATGTAGTCAATTAAGAATTGAGCTGGCAACACCAATGACAGTCCAGATGGATGGTGAACCATTTTACATCCCTGCTCCTGTTGCTATCAAAATCACACATTCTGGTCAAGTGATGGTACTACGTCATTAGAAACAGAGGAGATTTTTTTATTGCCAGAAAAATTGAGCTGACGAGTCGTGAGTTTTTAAAACAAAACGTTTTAGCAAACAACAGATAAATAAGACGATATATGATCGGACAATAAATCATTGCAGGAATATCTCGAATTGTATTTCTCATTCATTTGATTTCTAATATCTTGAATCGAGACGTCGGCCAGTCCACTTAATGGTAGACTTTTATGCCAGAGTTGAAGTGCAAATGCGGCTGAAAGTAACACTACTATATTGTAGAGGATAATCAATAATTTATAAAAGTGCATTCTTTTATCTTCGTTTTGTGTTCACTTTTTAGAGAAATAGGCTTCTAAACAGATGGCATCTTGAATCGTAAAAGAACAGGGCATTGGTGAGTTTTTTAATTTTTATTCGGTACGGAAGTTAGTTGTTTCTCTGTTCCATTTGTGGCTCGGGTCTAAAATAGAACAGATAAACTTATGTTTCACGTAAAAGAAATTAATTTCTGTGCTCAGAGGACTGAGTTATCTGAATTTGTAAACGCGGTATTTTGAACATGTGAATCCGGTACGAAATCTCCCCGCGGTTTTATTTTTGTCACACTTGTGATCTTTGAGGAAGATCAAGTCACCTTTCTAGTAACAGTTTTTCGGGCTCTATCTAATACACTAATTTGTTTTAACACAAATATTTTTTGTTAAAATAAAACAGCGTGGCGGAATTACACATCATCGACCAAGTTTGTTTTTGCGAAAAAATGAACTTCTTTCTCTTCTCATTTTTCGTCCTTTTAAGTTGTCCTGAATTGACTAGATGCAGTTTAAATTGTTTCTCTTAATTGCGAACGACAAATCTCGTCTTTTCTTACTCTTTTTCGACTCCCACTATGTTTTATAGTTCAAATAACTATTCTAGATATTATCTTTCACGAGTGTTCATGCCCTTGAATGTCGCCGAAAGAAGTCGAAGATATCGGGAGCATTTGAAACAAAAAGTTGAATAAATGTAGGCGGTTGCCAAAGTTTCATCAAAAAGTCTGCAGGATCTCTCGGAGGACTTGAGAAAACCTTCAAAGACCACAGTTTGATGGAACTTTGTTGAGGACTCTAAAGGATAGCCCATTCACGTCTGAGTTGAATGAAGTGTTCGGCAGCTCTTCATATTATTTCCCAGCTGATATACGTGGCTTTTACTAAATGTCTTGCAGCAGGTTGACTTGAGATAGCGTTTTTGGACAGACTTCTCATGAAAGTCGCCTATCTGAGCAAGGAAATGTCCTGGGGAGCCGTCGAACACCTCATTCAACTCATAATTGGATGGACTATCTTTTGGAGTCGTCAACAAAGTTCCATCAAACTGCGGTGTTTGAAGGATTTCCCAAGTCCTCCTAGAGATCCTCCAGAATTTTTTATGAAACTTTGGCAACCGTCTACGTTTGTTCAATTTTTCAAGTGCTATTGACTAGTAGATTGTAGCATGTCCCTAGGTCTGTCTATTTATGAATTAAGAAAAGATGAAATTTAAAATTTTTAATTTTAATTCAAAAATTCAAAATACGAGTCGGAGATCTGAAGAGTTTTTCAAATGCGAAAAATTCTAAAAACAATGGCCGTTTTGAGACATTTTTAACGGTTTTAGTTTTACAATAGAAATTGTATTATTTAATTATTTATTATTATTTATTCAAGTTCATAAAGTGAAAAACCACGGTTTTCAGAAAATCTGTTTAGACTTATTTTGCAAAATTTCGAGATTGCCATTCGAAAGAGCTTAGTTTCAAACCCCTAAACGGTGAGTTTTATCGAAATCGGCTCGACACATCATAACTTTTCTTTCAAAAACTTTCTGATGGTATACGTCTACTGCAGGAACTGTGGGTAATTGCGAGAAAGAATTGAAAAATGGCCGGTCCAAAACCATGTGTTCACTGTTGTTTGTTAGGGAAATACTCATTACATGTTTTGATTGAGATATTACTCATTTTACGAACAATTAAAAAATTGAAAAAAACATGGTCATTTTGTGAAACGTGATTCCACCACGACGCTTCTTCTCACTGACCGCGCAAATTTGAGCTTTTATTAAATTTTCCTTCTTTCCTCGAATTGCTTGCAAGATCTGCTACAAGTTTACTAGCAAACATTTTCGCATGAGTCATTCAGTTTTGCAGAAATTTTCACATCTTTGGACACAGCTAAAGAGTTTGTCCATTTTTCCTGATTCGGCTACGAGGTAAAAAACCGTTTCGCCAAAAGACAATTCGCCATGTCATGTGACAAATGTCATGTGTCGTTTCGCCAACTGGCGAAATGTCATGTGCCGTTTCGCGAACTCGAAATGTCATGTGCCGTTGAAAATAGTGATAGTAGTTGGAAGTATTTGTGAAGATGAAGAAGAAGGATGGAGGTAGAGACTATGTGAAGATGTATTTTGAATGTGTAAATATGTTTTTTCTTTTTTCTTCATTTTTAAGAACAGGTGTTTTTTTACTAAGTTGAATTAGATAAAACGCAACGCTATTTGAAAAATTACATTTATTTTATTCCCCTATGTCTTTTGTTGTGACATCGTTCTCATGTTTATTTGTGTTGGAATTAGTACGCATTTCTAGCATTTCTATTTTCAAGACTCTGTGTTCGTAGCTATTTGTTAGTTTGTTTGAAAATATATATTTCGAGGGAGGTTTCCAGGAAATTGTCTTTCGGCGAATCGTGCTCTGGCGAAACGTCAGAGATTCCCCAAAATTTTGCGTACACAAAAGAAGTTAAAAAACCGTTTCGCCGCAAGACGACTCGCCATGGCGAAATGTCAGTGCCGTTTCGCCAAGAATTTGTACGCTTTCGCCAATTGGCGAAACCGCACATGACTTTTCGCTACGGCGAATTGTCTTTTGGCGAAACGACAGAGATTCGGCCACGATCTCTATTTCTTTAATAAAATGTAAGCCATACAACCAAACTGAACGATATTTTCAGGTATTGTAGAGCACATGGCCGCACACATGTAGAAAAAATGCTCACTCTTTATCTTTTAAAATGGCCGAGAAAAATCAAATTTAATATGAAAAAACGTGTTCCTGCCACGATTGGACAGGCCGACGTCATTGTTCACAAATTTTATCAATACAAAAAATGGAGAAGGTAATTTCTTGGGCAATTGTGGTTCAAGTTGAATATCATTAATGTGAGCTGGATAATAAAGCAGTATACATAAATAAATAAAAATTTCTGAGCATCTTGTCAGAAATCTACATCACCATACCACTCATATCGACCTACCATGCTTCAAAAGCCAGTGGTTTCTTAAATAACGTATTTGACTTATTGAAGTTTTTTTCTATATGTTTAAGCAATGAATTAACGAAACATGCGCGTTTTCCTTGTGGAGTTTTGGTGTAGGCATGCAACAATCCCAAACTAGGAATTGCTGATCGGCACCGAACGGTTTGTTACCGAACATGTTCGGTCACCGAACGGTTCGTAAGCGAACATGTTCGCTGTCGATCAGCGAGCTCTAGCTTGGGATGGTTGCATGCCTGATCTGGACTAAAAGCAAATTGAATGAAATTGAAGCTTTTGAAGGAAGTAACCGGTGAGAGAATAGATTAACTAAAGCACAATGTGAGCGAATGTGTCTTCTACTGAATCGCTACCAAAGGTTTAAAAATAATAGTTTGTCAAAGCAAAGAACATGAGAACGAAGAAACACATGAACGAAATCTTTGTAAAACAGAAAAAATGGTGAAGATTACACCAAACGGAGGAGCAGCCTTGATTACGCCGTAGCCGCAGATAGTCATGTAAAGAAAAGTTTGAATCAGAGCAGCAAATTTATGTTTACTTTATTCCACGAAGTTGAAAGTACCTTTAGTTCCCATTATGTCTGATTTACTCTCTAATTACTTACTAACGTGGCCTCTGTATAGCAGATTGATTTACTTTGTTTTCATGCAAAATGGTTTTTCTCACTGCAGAAAAAAGTAGACAGACAGCTGCAGCTCTAATTTGAATGTATCTTTATAAGGTTTATGGTACTTTGTCCTAATAGTTTGTCAGCAGAGCGCTCGTCGATGTCTCTGACGAGGAAAATATAAACTATCGTATTTACAATCTTCGTCCGAACACGTTCGATAGCGATCCGGTAGAAGACACATTCGCTCACATTGTGCTTTAGTTAATCTATTTTCTCACTGGTTACTTCCTTCAAAAGCTTCAATTTCATTCAATTTGCCTTTACTCCAGATCAGGCATGCAACCATCCCAAGCTAGAGCTCGCTGATCGGCAGTGAACATGTCCAGTAGCGAACCGTTCGGTGACCGAACATGTTCGCTTACGAACGGTTTGGTGATCGAACATGTTCGGTTGCGAACCGTTCCGTCACCGAACTATCGGTTTGGTGCATACCTATTTTCGTGTACTAAGCATAACATTCCTTTCATTTTGTAGCGCATGAATCGGTCGGAACCTCTTTTTAAGAAAAGAATGGCAAAAGGGCAGGTTTCTCATTGTTTCATCCGTTTTTGTATATAAAATTACACGTCACAAAACGTTTTTATTCCTCTAAACGTCAATTCCTAAAAGAGTCTATTTTTAGTCCAAGCCTTCGTCCTTTTCAGAAACAGTCCAAATTTTAGTTTTTCGGCTACAGCCAGGTTACTCACGAGGGAACCTTTCGAGGCGATTAAAAGCTTTTTGATCGACATCTAGTGGGTTATAGGTTATCGACCATGCTGATTTCGAATATGATCATGGAACTGGCCCATAGCTCTTCGAAGATCCAGTCTTCTGGAAAACCAGTTTTTCAGAAATCCCAAAAAATAACCCAAGCCTTTCTTAATAATGCAGGATTGTAGCGCGCAAATTTCTGATTAAAATGATACATTCCCCAGCTCTACACGACCTTTCTTTGCAAAGTTATAGAATTTATAAGAAGAGCCCTAAATTAATTCTTTCCTTCTTATTTCTGTAGCTTTGAGCTGACAATGAACAATTTACGGCTCTTCTTATAAATTCTATAACTTTGCAAAGAAAGGTCGTGTAGAGCTGGAAGAATTTGGGGAATTTAATCAATTCGGAGTTAGTGGTATGTTCCATGCAACAAAAGTGGTATTTTTTGCCTATAGGGGATTCGATGCATGGACTATGTCGTCTAATATTAAAAGTTACAACTATTTTTTACCCGACAATTTACTGAAGGTAGATTTTATGAACAAGTTCAAATTACAACAGCAGCACAAGAAATAAAAGTAAAAGAAACCCGCTATTTCAAGTATTATATACCAATATCAATACTCAGTTCGATGGTAATATCGTTTATTTTATATGTTGGATTCTGTGTAGCACTACTTGGTATCGTTCCTTATAATCAGTTAAATGTATTCGATCCATTATCAGTTGCAACAGAAAAACGCGGAATGAAATGGTTACAAATTACTGTACATTTAGCTGCAATTGCTGGTTTAACATCTGTTATACTCATTAATTTGATGGCACAGCCAAGAATATTATATACAATGGCAAATGACGGGTTAATACCAGAAATTTTTGCTAAAATTTATGAAGAAAAAAATGACGATAAGAAAGACAGAGAAGGTGGAAAAAACGAAGATGAGGAAAAGAAAAGAACTGGCCGACGTACACCTCATGTAGCGACAATATTTACAGGTAAGAAAAAGCTTGATCAAAGGTTCAAAACTAGAATCTCTCTAGCGTCAGCATGAATATTTTTCATTGCATCTTGTGCAGGATCGCACTAGACACCCTGTCTAATCATTCATATCCTTTATTCAGGGGTTATTTGTGCTATAGCTGCCGGTTTATTATCACTTGATTTTTTAAGCGAATTAGCATCATTGGAGACATTGTTTCCATATCTTTTTGTTCATTTTGGTGTATTCATATTGCGCTGAACAAAAGTTGGAAAAGATACTCCTCGTTCATTTAAATTCCCAAGTCGAACAGTTATTATCCCATTGCTGGGAGGATTAATAAATATTTTGTTAATACATATCAGTTCAAAATTGACCAAAATACAATTTGACGTCTGGATGGGTATCGGATTGATTATCTATTTTTCATATAGTATACGAAATTCGAAATCCGAAATCACTTAGGCACAGGCCAACTTACTCTGGAATATTTGTCTACACTTATGAGCAGTTACAGTTATCAGCAGTTTTACAAGTACAATTAAGTGGTAAAAAACTGTAATTGTACGTACGTATGCATCAGTTATTCCAGAGTGAGTTGGCCTGTGCCTAAGTGATTTCGGATTTCGAATTTCGTATACTATATGAAAAATAGATAATCAATCCGATACCCATCCAGACGTCAAATTGTATTTTGGTCAATTTTGAACTGGTATGCATTAACAAAATATTTATTAATCCTCCCAGCAATGGGATAATAACTGTTCGACTTGGGAATTTAAATGAACGAGGAGTATCTTTTCCAACTTTTGTTCAGCACAATATGAATACACCAAAATGAACAAAAAGATATGGAAACAATGTTCCAAATGATGCTAATTCGCTTAAAAAATCAAGTGATAATATATGTTCGTTTAAAGGAACACATGTTATACAAATAAGGATGATAGAACGACTGAGGCTTTTATGTGAAACAGTCTTTAATGGTTGAACACTTAGCACGTTTAGCAAGTGTTTATATTTGTCAAAAACAATATGATTCTGCATTGGGAAATTATGAACAAGCAATCGATTTATATTAAAAAAAAACAGATTCGGAACGAGATATTAATGTTCTACCTTTTTGAAGTTCGCCAACTATCAACGTTTGCTCAATTTTTTATGCTGTATGCATGCAATCGCTTTTTGCAGAAAAATTGTAGCTCTCCTATTAGCTGAGTTACGTCAAATTTAGAACAGTTGAACTTTTTTGAATTTTTAGTTTCAATTTAAAACTCAAGGAAAGGTGCTATTTCAAAATTCTTTTCCCCGAATGACCCATGAAGCATTCTAAATACGATTATTTTATTGAAAAGATTATACCCTTGCAAGATTTCTCTAAGATAAACTTTATTTGTAATCCGGTAATGAAGATTACCTCGTGTTCTAAAACCTTTTTTGAGCTTAAGATATAATTTTTCAGAATGGCTATTGGCATCTTCAGAGGTGTCACCAAGGAGCTATTACCACCTTCGGAATGTGTCACTGACAGCTATTGCCATCTCCAGAAGGTGTCACTGACGGCTTGGCACCTTCCGAAGGTGGCAATAGCTCCTTGGTGACACCCCTGAAGGTGGCAATGGCGCTACCCATAATTTTTTGAATATGTTCCATAAAAAGAGCATTCTTTCAAATCCTTACGCTTCAAATATCAATTAATTTATCCTATTCTCTTCATTTTACTTTGTTCATGCAACAAGCCTACCATTCAGCGGATTAACACGAGAGTAATTTCTTTGTTCGCAAATTCCTTCAATAGCTCTAAGACATTCTGACGTTTATTTGCCTCAATTTGAAATTCAATATTTTTTTGTGAAATAACAGTTGACGTTAAACCCAAAATCATCTGCCACCCTCATTCGATTACTGAACCAAAGAACCGTTAGGCGTATTCCCGACAAAACATTGCTCAAACTATTTCCTGAAGATATTGGACCTTGAGCTTTATTGACAATATTTGACCAGTTTTTCACTGATAAATCTTATCTTTAACAAGTGTTTTGGATTATTATTTCTCAACTACTAACAAACATAGAAAAAAGACCTTGAATGGTGATTCAACGCAAAGAACAATAGTTTACTACACTAATATTCATAAATCTTATATTATTTCGTCAGCGTTGCCTACTACAGTCAATAGAAAAAATTCCATCGAGTATAATATATACTGTGTCGTAAAAAAAGAGATGTTTTATTTTTAAGTGATTATATCAAGAAATTGAGACTTTTTATGTTTCTTTGCCGCAAAACCCCAATATAATAAAACATTTAAGATGACGAAAGAATGAATTTATTGTATTGGAGTAGATAAGACGAAACTGTGTGCTTTTAGTTAAATCAGAGTATATTTACATTGATTCGTTAACTGGTGGATGATACGTAGTTTCTCGTGAATTGATATCTACTTTAGGAGTCTGAGGTACAAAAAAAACGTTTTTTTGTCAAATAAATGTATAAACAGTTCGATCAGATCGGTCTCTGGTAAGTAGCTCTACTTCTGAGTAAGATGAAAATAGACATTTAATTATAAAATCATTTTTCATTAAAATGTGGTTCTATTATTTATGTCGTTAAATTCTATTATACTTTACAGAAAAACCTTCCGTTTTGATAGTTGTGAAATGGTTGAATTGCTCGAACCGTTCGTCTGTTTTGACCTGTATCTAAAAAGGCGAAAAATATGTTTAGCATCAGTTTTTCTTCTGATACGAAAAGAAAGTTGAGTTACGAAACCGACTATTTTTGACAAGCAGATAAACATGTGTTTCCTTCGTATCATTTGAATACTCTACTTATTCTAATTTTTGTCGATATTCTTTCCTTGCTTATATTTCGCAATCTTCATAGTTTATACCTCGTAACTTTTCTTTCGATTTAGAACGAAAACAAATTTCGACTTTTTTTGCATCCTTGGACTGTGAAGGATTTGTCCACTTAACGCAGCCAAAAAAGCGTGAGTCCGTCAAGTTTTATAAAATTCATAGTTCTTCAAGCAAGTAATCTACAGAGTCGAAAAACGTCTTATTTTGTAGCTTAAACATTTTTCTTTAATATCACAATCAAGCAGAGTGTAGCAGCTGACCGGTTTAGGAATTATCACGGTTCTGAAAAAGTGCCTTTTTCTCGAAAGGATGGTAATTCTGAAACAAACTAGCTTCCAGACATTGTTTGATTGACTTAACAAGCACTAGTACACTACCCGACGGCTATCGCTTCTCTGTTATAGTAAATATTCTTTCTAGTTCTGTGCCCCCCTCCCCCTCCCCTCCCCCCCATTGACCTAACGAAGATTTCATAAAGAAATGATTCAATGACGGATCAGTCTGATTAAGAATCCGTTTACAGATCTTCGCTAGGTGCTCCAGAAGCGGAGATCATGAGACTCATAGCTCAAGCGTCACACAGATCTCAAACTTTTCACTAATAAGGATATAGTTATGTACTTAAACTGCATTGTATATTTCAGTGGTAGAGTATAACAGTGTCACTCGATTTTGATAGTCAGCCAAGATAGTTGTATTTAATCTCAATGTTTGTCTACCGAGTTTCTCACAACCGCAAAAATCCCATTGAGTATACATAGTGTGCCATAAAAAAGAGACATTTTATTCTTAAGTGATTGTATTAAGAAATTAAGACTTTTTATGTTTCTTTGCCGCAAAACACCAACATAATAAAATATTTAAGATGACGAAAGAATGAATTTATTGTATTAGAGTAGATAAGACGAAACTGAGTGCTTTTAGTTAAATCAGAGTATATTTACATTGATTCATTAACTGGTGGGTAATACGTAGTATCTTGTGAATTGATATCTACTTTAGGAGCAGAGCCCTGCAGTTTGCCAATATTTGGCAACCTATAACCTAACCTATAAAAAATTTCATAACCTGATCCTAACCTAACCTATGGATTCCACAACCTAATACTAACCTAACCATTGAAAAACAAAGTAGAACAGCCTATAACCTAACCTAGCCTATAACTTTTGCAACCTAATCATAACACAAGATCAACCTGCAGGGCTCTGTTTAGGAGTCCGAGGTACAAGAAAAACGCTTTTTGTTGATGAATAAATTTTGATGTTTTTGCCAGAAATATCTAATCGAAATAGACGATAGAGTAAATGATGTATATCTGAACAGAATAATGTAGCATAGGCGAATTGCTTATAAAACGTGATTATGTACCATTTGAATTGTTTTAGTATACAATTATTTACAATTATTTTCTTTAGAAAAAAAGCAATGACTTCAGAATCGTTGACAATTCGTCATCGTACAGTTGAACGTACTGTACAAGGAGCGCATGTTTCGCTCAATAAAGTTATGGCTGTTACCACCATGAAAGAACAGCATGATCATGAAAAAAATGAATTAACAAGATTAAATACACGCTTTGTTGGTTATATTAGTCGCGTTAAACAAATAGAAACAGAAAATAAACAATTGGAATTAAAATTGGATAATTTACGTAAACATTGGGGTTTGGATTCGATTCGTTTAAAACTTGAATTTGAACAAACTTTACAACAGACACGAAAAACAATTGATCAAACTTCGTTTAATAAAGCACAAGCTGAACTCGGTGCAAAACGAGCTCAATTTAATATTTTAAATTATAAATGTTTGTGTGATGATGTACAACACTGGTCAAATGAAGATAAAGCTAAATTAGCAATATTAGAAACATCATTATCATCAAATCAAATAGAATCTGGTAAATATATATTCTAAATGAATTATAAAAAAAGATTTTTCATTTTAAATTTTTGTTTACTATTTTAGAACAATTTCATCGTTTAATAAATAAATTAAGAAATGATGTTGACAAATATCGTAGTGATATGAAATATTTATTAGAAGAAATTAATCGTTTAGCTTCTGAATTAGATACAGAAATAAAAGGTCGAATTACAATTGATGGTGAAATACAAACATTACAAGAACAAATTCAATTTTTAACGGTAATACATGAACAAGAAATGAATGAATTACGAATATTATTACTAGGTCATACTGGTATTAATCCCACAAAATTTTATATAAATGAATTACAAAATGCTATAGTAGAAATACGTAAAGATTTTGGAAAATTATCACGTCTACAACAACAAGAATTGGAAAATTATTATCAACTTAAACGAACGGAACTTGTCGAACAAATTCAACGAAAAGTTCCTGTTCGTACTGGACATATTGACTATAAAGAATCAATAGTAACTGTTCGACAAACAATTATTCAAACAAAAAAAGAAAAGAATAGTTTACAAAATGAATATGAAATTAATTTGGCTAAAATGAATGATTTACAATTTAAATATGATACATTGAAACGAGGTAAATCTATTTAGTATTGATCATTTCTTTAAAAAAATGATAATTTTTATGTATATATTTTATTTGTTTATTTATCAAGAAAATAGTATTATAATTGGACAACGTGACTATGAAATTGTTGAATTACGAAACAAAATAATGCATTTAACATCATCTTATGATAGAATTATATCCAATAAAACAATATTAGAATTTGAAATTAGTACATATAGAAATTTATTAAGTGCACAAGAAGGACGTATGCCTATTAAACCTCCACCAATTATTCCAATAATTAAACCGGAAATAGAATACAGTGAAAGTGAATCACAATATGTAACAAAATTTCAACGCAGTGCGAAAGGTATAGTTTGATCAGTATTTTTTTTATAGTAAATATGGATTGTTTCTGACATCATAATAATAATATCTAGAAAAACCCGTTATTAAAAATTATCAAGAATTGCGTAACATCTCATTTGTAGAGAAATATCTCGGCTACACGTTGTATTGTAAACATAGTATTGTTCTAGTGATTGTATCAGTAGTAGCAACGTTTCAAATTATAAGAACGAATGTATCAGTTCTGAAACAGTTCAGTGCTCTTTATTAAGTTATTCAAATATGTTTCTTTTGATTGGTATAAGCTTTATTCTGTCAGAATACAAGCGAAAAAATATTCCGTTATAGTATTCTAAACTAAAACTATCGAAGAGCACTGAACTGTTTCAGAACTGATACATTCGTTCTTATAATTTGAAACGTTGCTAC